AAAAAAAAAAACAAAACAAAACCTGTGTTGGAAAGTTACTCAAACCCTACAGTCCACCACGTGGGGCACCGGCTATAAAGTCCCACGGGAGTCACCGTGGCGCTCCAGAGGCTTCCAGTCCCTGCTGCTACTGTGCTCCTCGCTCGTAGCTCATCATAAAGAGATGATTGCTCATTACGAACCTTCCCTGGGTCTGTAAGGTTTGCATCACCCAACGCATGAATTTGTTCATAAATTTCAGCCTCCAGGGAGAACCGAGCTCCCTTTGAAGTGGAGGCAGAAGAGGGGTCTGGATGCTGGCCACCACTAGTTGAAAGGCTAGTTGGGGCAAAGGCCTGAATGTTTTCCTTCCGGCAGAGCTTCCCACTACAAATAGCAATGCAGCCCACTCTCCAGAAGAGGCCTGAGAATTTGACGTGAGGCTCTTGCAGGGAGGGCTCCAGGCCTGTTCTTTCGCTGTCCCTGCAGACGCTGGAGCTGTTTTGTTTTGGAGAAGGTGGGCAGGGATGACGCTAGGCGTCCTGTCCTCTCTCTGGCTTTTGAGAGCTGCAGAAAGGGGTGGGGATGGCCGGGGAGGAGTAGGCGAGCCGAGCGGAGCCCAGTTGTCCAGAGGCTCCGCCAGACGGGTGCGGGGCCCTGACCCACACCGGCCTTTGTTCGTTTCTGCGCCGCTGATCTGATGGCCTAATCCACCGCCTTCCCAGAAGAATGGGCTGGGCTGCCAAGGGCCCCGGCCCGGCCCTCGGCCTCCCCCCGGACTCAGCCCCGCGCTGTCGGGTCCAGCCCCAGGGCGCCTGGCGCGATGGGTCAGCAAGGCTCCGAGGACGCGGATCCCGCCGGCTGAACACCCCCCTCCTGTCCTCAAGGGAGGGCGCAGAGGGGGCGCCCACCGTGGCCCACTGTGGCGCGCTTTTGGGTGGGGGAGACGAGTCTTTCCCGGCTCGTTTGGAAACCCAGGAAGGCGCTTCGCGAAACGAAAGGCCGGGAGGGGGTGGGCGCCGGGAGAGGGACTGAGACCATCGCCTCTAGAGGGCGCGCGCGACCCGCGGAGTTCGAGCCTCTGGCTCTTGGGACGCGCGGGGGG